TGGCATGGCGAATTTGGGTAGAAACCAACTCTTAGGAGGGACATCCCATGCAATACCAAGTCTCACAAATTCTTCTACGGTAATTTTGAGGCAACAAATGGACGAAAGTAACCATGATATGGTACAAATGTTGGCACAAACTTTGAGTACAGTGCTGAACCCTCTAATACAAAATACCACCCAGTCGAATCAGTAAATGACAACTCAGATGACGCGCATGGATGAATTTTTTGGGGTTCCCCAATCTATTCGACAACCCCAAAGAGCGCCAATAAGAGGGAATCAGGGTATAGTCTTAGAGGAGGATGTGACCATTAACCAAAATCTACAGCCAATTGGAATGAACCATAGAATGGAGATCGAATAACCTAGGGTCGAAATACCCAGAGTTCCTCCACAGATCCCCAAAGATGTCAATCCAGATGTGGTTGTGGTAAATAGAAACCAAAATGCTGACGAAGTGATACAATAGGTTCGACACCATAATTATGGAACAGATAATAATCTGACAGCCAAGATCGAAAGAATCATGATAGAGAATGGAATGAACATTGGCTTTCATAGGCCAAACTTTACATCCCTATTGTCAGAGTATATCTTGTAAGCAGATTTATCCCCTAGGTGGAAAGTTCCAAAGTTCACCAAATTTTCCGGGGATACAACAGAATCTACAATCGAACATGTGGCGAGATATTTGATAGAAGCTGGGGAAATCTCAAATAACGAGAGCCTTAGGATTAAGTACTTCCCAAGTTCCTTAACTAAACATGCTTTTACTTGGTTTACCACACTCCCAACCAATTCGATCCACAACTGGAATCAATTAGAGAGATTGTTCCATGAACAATTTTACATGGGACAAACCAAAATAAGTATGAAAGAACTGGATAGTGTGAAAATGAGATTCACTGAGCCAATAGATGAATATCTAAATAGATTTTGACTACTTAAAGCCATATGCTTTACACAAGTTCCTGAGCATGAGTTGGTCGAAATGGCAGCAGGGGGCCTAGATTATTCTATTAGGAAAAAATTAGATACCCAATACCTGAGGGATATGGCCCAATTTGCCGATAGAGTTTGACAGGTAGAACGTCTTAAAGCTGAAAAAGCTAAAGCAACTAAGATTCATCAAAGAGAAAGGGTAGCCTATATCGAAATGGATGATGACGATCCAGAGACATCTAGCGATCCTATAATTGTTGAAGAAAGCGAAATAGATTTAGCAGAATTAAAACAAGGGCCACCGTATTCTTGCAGATTGCTAATACCCTCAAATGGGAAGAATCCTAATGAGTCTAAAAAGAACAGTGATAGATTCCCAAAGAAAACATATAGTTTCGATGTCACAAAATGTGACGAGATATTTGACTTGTGAAAGAAAATGGGTTTTTGTAAGTATCATAATTTTTCGGGCCATAAAACTTCACAGTGTTTTCTTTTCAGGGATCTCGTTCAAGGAGTGATCAAGGAGGCCCGACTCAAGTTTGCTGACAAACCTCCGATGAAAATCGATGCAAACCCATTGCAAGTTGATGCCACTATGATGAACCCCCAGGCATCAACATGGTCGAAGTTTCAGAAGACTTCGTCAATAAGCCTGTTTTTGGCTGTTTCACTGGGAACATCTCCAGAAAGACTGACGAAAGGGTGAGGAAGGCTATTAAAGGCCTAAACAAATGAGCTACTGAAGGCTCAAACAAAGAAGCTGCTGAAGGCTCAAACAAAGGGACTACTGCAGGTTCCTATTTGGCTGCCGTCACGGGTTAGACAGAGAACTTAGAAGCCAAAATGCAAAGGATGAATCTCGCTGTAAAGAGCATCATAGAAGTCAATATGGTTGAAGTATCTGGGGAGAAGGCTTCAGAAGATGCCATCCGACAAGAGGAAGTCAATAAAACTGCATTTCCTAAATAGAATGAGAATTTGGCAGATTTTCTGCAACGATGCCAGAAAAAGAAGTCTGAAGTGATGTTGTGTCAAAGATGTAGCTCCATATTCGACAAAAAAGATGCAGAACACATATATGGTGTGAGGGAAGTAAAGGAGAAATGGGGGCACCAATGCCCAACCTAACATGGATCCTGAGGTCCAATATGATCCCAGAAAAGGATATCATAAGGTACCAATGAACCAGGTGAAGAGGCCATCAAATTTCAGACCTCCAACAAATGTCCCTGTGGACACTTGGCTGAAAACAACAAACAGAAAAAGGCCCGGTGAGGAGAAATGGTGAACATTTGATGTGCCAAGAGGATCATAGGAAGGAATTCCAAACTACAACAACAAACAAAGTGGCTCATGTGTCGAGCAACTACAAGGGGAAAAACCCCATGTCCTGCTCCCAGTGAAGGAGATATCAAAGACGGCAAAAAGTCGAAAGAGAGGCTACAGGGGAGCCTCAACCTGAATCAAGCACTAATGTGCCACAAAGAAAGGAAAAGGCAAGCAAAGAAAGCCTTTGGAAAGAAAATCAATTGCTAGAAGATTGGTGTGGCCAGAACAAGGTGAATCAAATGATGTAGATAATTCTGAATTTGATGCTACTTTGGATATTATGGTGAATGTAGTATCAATATTACCCAGGGAATACAACCGCCAAGTCGAAGTCGAAGAGACTGTCTGGGAGGTCGAGCAGGAGATGGCCAAAGATAGACCAGTTTGTTACTACATCATGAACAACGGCTGTGTCGAAGAGTAAAATACTTTCTTCGAACGCCCCACTGAGGCGATGAAGAATCACCTCAAACCATTGTTCATCAGAGCAAAAGTTGGGGAAGTGAATTCAGTGATGATGACTGAATCATAAGCTTTATAAAGGATTTCGGCATATGTGGCCGAAAGTATAATGATAGCGGCCTTAGAGGCTTAAGTCAAGTATATGATTGTCGAAGCCAATGAGCGAGTGTTTCTTCCAGAAGGTCCTGGGAAAGACTTCGAACCAGAACCACCTGACTTAAGAAGAGAGGAAGAAAGAAGCCAGAGGCTAGATGCCATCTATGATGATGAGCCTTTGGATTTTAAAAAGGACCCATTGGCAGACAATGTTAAAATGCTAGCGCAAGATCCTCTGAAAGAAATAGACCTGGGCGAAGGTTTGGTGAAAATACCAACATACATCAGTGCGAAGATATATTCAACGCTCAGGATCGAAATAATCCAATTGTTGAATGAGTTTAAAGACTGTTTTGCGTGAGATTATGACGAAATGCCTGGTTTTGACAGAAGATTGGAGGAGCTTTAACTACCAATATATTATTTAAAAAAGGAAAATTTGTATAATTATATCCACGATAAGTGAGATAAAAATAATACAAATTAACAATGATTAATTTTTCAGAATATAACTCTCAAATAATAATATTTTTTGTATACTAGTAAAACTAGATTTATATTTATTTATTCGAGTATATAACAAGAAATCAATAAAACAGATAGAGAGTTTTAATTTCATAATATTCTGGAAAATTAATAATTTTATATAAATGTACCTTTTATAACTTTAAAAGGAATAGATAATATTAGAGATAATTTCTCCTTATATACAACTATATTTTTAGTCACAAGGAATTGGAAATAATTTAAGACTAACCTCATAGAATATGACATTCATCCTTGCAAATAGAATCAGTGAGAATTGATGACTTATAAAGTATTGCAATGTCATCACAAAAATGTTTGATAATCAAAGATTAAACTTGTAGTGTCATCTCAAAAACTCATAAATCGTAATATCAAAATATAAAATAATATTTTAAATTAACATTATGCAAGAATAAAATCATTTAAATTGTCTTTACAATAGCTTTAAATAATTATAACATTTAATGAGTGAGTAAATAAATAAGCAATATATAATTTAATAATAAAATTATTATAAATTTTACATTATCATATTTAGTGTGTAAATAATAAAATTGAACCGAGAAAATAGATAGAATTCACAACAACAATCTTAAAAGTTTAGGTCAACAAAATCCTTATTTATTATTATTATTATTATTATTATTATTATTATTATTATTATTATTATTATTATTTATTATGACTAAATTCATCACAATATTTTTAATCTCATTTAACACAATATTAATAGGCACACAAGTGAGACTAGAATTGTATGGGCATATGAGAAAAGGAAAAAAAACTTTGCCCAAATAGGACACACAAATTAGATATTTAATTTAATAAGCAAATAGTTTGATAAAATCAAACAAATAAAAAAAAATACTTTTGCTAACATAATAATACAACTATGAACAATTTATATATAATCTCAAACCAAATTTTATTATACAAAACTGAGATCGAAAGTGTAACACTCGTATTAAATTAAAACAATTTCAAAATAAATAATTAAAATAGAATATATAATTAAAAAAGTTATAATTTAAATAATAATTAAACAGAGTGAATAATCTAATTCACTAGATCCAAAATTTATTATTAATAATCAAATATAGTGAACAACTAAATTCATCTGATCAAAAGTTGTTAATTACAACTGCACTGTCATTTAAAGAGAGATTTGCCACTTGTTGTCATAACAAAATATTAAAGTCATCTGATATCTTTTAAATCTCAAAATTGTAAACAATAAAAGAGAGTATATTTTATAAACCTTTACATTTAGCATGCACCGATAGATTTTAAGTTATTATATGGGTTGTTTTCAGAAACAACAAAAAAAACTCTAATATGTATTAATTAAGTAAGTTTCTAGAATCTAAATAGACAATTAATAGAAACGGATTTTTTTAAAGATTTTTATGATATTTATTTCACAAATATGCATTAATATCAATATTGAAAACAAATTATTCAATTAAAAAATTGATGTAACAAAAAAAAACTATAAAATAGAATAAAATATTAAATATTTCCTTTAGGAACGTTGCGGTTATTTAAAAAGTTGAAAATGAAACAATCCTGTACAATACAAATTCATTTATCTACTATTAAAACAAAGAAGGTCATATTCTTCATACCTAGTTGAAATTATGAGTCCAAAAGCCATTGGGTTTTGGAAAGCTGAACAAACTCTGATCAATCTTTTCAACCAGTGTTCCACCAGTAACCATTTGAAACAGATACATGCTCGTATTGTCCTATCTGGTTTTCATCACAACCTTATTCTCGCAGGAAAGATTATCATCTTTTCTTCAGATATCAATTACGCACTTTCTGTTTTCCACACTATTCATAAACCAGATGCTTTTCTTTGGAATTCCATCATCAGGGGTTTTGGGAATTCAACCCAACCTCTTAATGCTATTCATTTCTTCAAAACTATGCAGCTTGCAAGGGAATATGTCATTCCTGATACCTTTACTTTTTCTTTCTTGCTTAAAATTATTGCTAGATTACGATTACTTACCTTGGGGAACCAACTGCATTCTACTCTCTTTAAGTTTGGTTTTCAATCTCATACTCATGTTACCAATTCTCTCATGCATATGTATGGTATGTTCAAGGATATACAACTTGCACGCCACTTGTTTGAGGAAATGCGTAAACCGGATTTAGTTGCATGGAATTCTATTATTGATTGTCACGTGTATTGTGGAAATTACAATGAAGCTCTTGATTTGTTCACCAAAATGCAATTGCAACCTGATGATGCAACTTTGGTAGTCATCCTTTCGGCTTGTGGTGCAATAGGAGCATTTCATTTTGGGAGGAAGGTTCATTTCTTTATACGAGATAATACTAGTACTAATAATTTTGCTGAAAGTATAACAGTCTTTAATGCCGTTGTTGACATGTATGCAAAGTGTGGTGCTGTGGAAGAAGCCTATGAAACATTTAGCAACATGAAAAGGAAGAACTTAGTTTCGTGGAATGTCATGATTCTCGGGCTTGCTTACCATGGTAATGGAGAAGAGGCTTTAGTGCTTTTTACAAGAATGCTGCGAGAGAATGTTGAGAGACCGAATGACGTTACTTTCTTGGGAGTCTTGTGTGCTTGTAGTCACGGAGGATTGGTTGATGAAGGAAGACGGTATTTTGATATTATGAATCGAGAATATAACATCCAACCAACAATAAAGCATTATGGGTGCATGGTGGACATTTTGGGTCGTGCTGGTTTAGTCGTGGAAGCATACAAATTGATAGAGAACATGCCTGTAGAGTGCAATGCTATTATATGGAGGACATTGTTAGCTGCATGTCGAAATTATGGAAATGTTGAACTTGGTGAGAAGGTAAGAAAACATCTATTGGAATTGGAACCAGACCATAGCAGTGATTACGTTCTTCTTGCTAACATGTATGCAAGCACGGGTCAATGGAATGAAATGAGCAAACAGAGAAGGTCAATGCAAGAAAGGAGAGTTCAGAAAGCAGAGCCTGGTAATAGCTTTATTGGCATTCCTGGAGTGAAGCTGGAGAAAGAAACGAGTGAAAGATTGCCGTAACGCTGCTCAGAAGTTTTCCTTTAAGCCTTAAACAACTGTCAACTTGGTGGTTTGAATGTTTCAACCGACTAGGCCTGGTCTGGTAATAATTTGTCAGGTTTCAGCTATATTTTTTGAACTACTGTCATATACTTGTGCTGTATCTGGATCCTTATACTAGTATACTAGTATACTTTTTGGTGGGTTGGGTGAAGTTAAATGCTTGTCGGCAACAAATTATTTATGGGTTTGATATGTAACCTCTTCTGCAAAAGATTCATTGCTCCAACCCCCTCTAGTTCTTCTGAATCCCAAGTAAGCAATCCTTTCAATATGCCATCAATCTTGTCTTCAATAGCTGATGAACAGGACAATCAAGGGCATTTGAAAAAAGGTACTAATACAAAGAAAAAACAACCGGAATAAGTGAATAAGATCCACACGGGGATAATCAAGTATGGCCATATTGCATAGAGCTGTGTTCACTCACCAGTTTGAACCATGATCTTGGAGGGAATTAGTGTGGGAAAAAGAACGTGATCTCCTAGAGTGTAACATGAAATTGGCTTGCTGAAGAACTTGGCAAATCCAATACAAACATCAGAAACTACTAAGAATATAGTCTGTAGTAGTTGAATGGTAAATTAAAATTAAAATCAGCTTGAACCGTTTCCACGAAGCTAATAACAATACAAGTAAAATAAAGTGGAATTGAGTGTAGCTAGCATTCCTAATCATGTCTGTAACTGAAATTGAAAAGAGAGAGAAGAGAGAGAGAGGAGTTACCATGGATTGTTGTGAATGACGTATGGAGCGAAAGAGAGAAACACACGCTTAAATTCAAATTCTTTTTATTACAAGTGATTTGAAAACTTGTCTTCTTCATAACTTGATAGTTCATTTCATATGTATTACTAACAAACTTCTCCCTTCACCCACAATTTCCTCTTTTCGTTCAATTCTATTTTTTTCTCTTTAAAACTATCAAATTTTTAAATAACACTCGAGACTAAGTCCCCTTTGTTTTAGCTTAATACATTTTTCTTTTTAAATAAGAATATTCATGAAAACTTATTTTAAGATATTAAAATAAATTATTTTATATTTATAAATTAAATTATTAAAAAATTAACTTTGATATTCATAAATTTAAGCGTGTTTTTTCTTAAATTTTCCGATCAAACGCGTGAATCTTGTTATGAATGGATGAATCTCAGGATGAAGATTCATGGATTCAGGATGAATACTCATTGATTATGGGATGAAGATTCATGAACTTCATATGGGTTCATGAATACGAATGAGGTTCATGAGCTCTTAGTGAGTCTCATTTTGACATGCGTCGGGGTCGTCCCCCTTTTGAGTGGGGAGGATTGGGGCAATTTCGACGAAAATTCCCCGCGTGAGGGTGTAGATATCTCCGCGTCCGCCGTAGAGGGTTTGGATCGAGGACCACTCCTCGACGCGCTCATCTCCCTTTCACTTGATTTGCGGTGGAAGGGTGAATTTGATGATATCGAATTCACTATTTTCCCCTGCTTTTCAGGTACGATTGCACAACCAGTCGAGGAAAATATTGTGCCCCACACCGATGGGGTTGAAGCTGAGGTCGCGCTCGAGCCCCTGGCTTGGGTTGCGCTCGAACCCCGGAATAAGGGATCATGTTTTGTGATGGATGCTTCCGACGCGTTTAATGTCCCTGAGGACAGAGCAAAAGATGTCCCTGCCAACTGGGCGCTCCAAATCCCTCACAAAAGTCGGAGGATATGCTCGTCTTTCCCGGAAAAACGCTTTCCTATGTACGAATTTACTTTTAAGGAAGCGAAGATGTGTTTGCCCTTTAACGATTTCCGGGTGGGGGTTTTTCAACGGGTACAACTGGCGTCCTCTCAGCTTCATCCAAACACGCTCGTGTTCATGCGAGCATTTAAGCTTGTCTGTCAGTACCTTCAGATCGGTGTCATTCTGACTCTTTTCTTTCGTATCTTCCACCTCCAACGGTAGACCATTGACGGGCGGTAGGCACGGGTTTCGTTTAAGCAATTCAGGAAACTCTTCCGACCGTGCCTGAAATCTGTGCGAAACTTCAAATAAAGGTACTTCATTGTGAAGCCCCTTACCAATGCGGACATGGATTCTTCGTATAACTGCTCGAAGGAGGTCGAGGATGGTCGGACAGTGGCTCGACTGACGGTGAAGTTTCCTTTTGAGTGGTAATGGAATTTTTTTGAGCAGAAGCCTGAGTGTTATACGGTGAAGCCCGAGGACTTAGATGTCCATGATAAGCTTTCTTACGACAAGCTAGTGGCTTATGTCAAGAGCTTCTCTCCAATAAGGTGTGTGGATGTAGACAATAATTTCTTCTTTGACGATAAAGGGGAACATCTCTTTGTTCCCCCAACTGATTAACACGAAAGCGCTCTTAGAATGCTCCTCTAATGAGGGGGCTTTGAGACTTCTAGGTAGGGGACGTGTCCGTAATTTCATGTTTGTACTTTTGTCTTGTGGACTAACATTTCCTTTTGATTACAGGTCGGATAACGTCTCTCTCCGAATGTTTGCTCAAGTTGAGGCCTAAGAATATATCAAACTTAGCGCCAAAACTCGGGTTGTCCAACTTCAGGAACAAGCCAAAATTTATGTTTGTCCAAACGGTTCATCTTCCCCTCCTGAACAACCGGCAAAAAGGAAACGCGTGGAAGACCCCGGGCACATGGTGGTTGTCGATGGGGACAAGGGTGTCAGGGTGGTTTTCGTGTTGCCCCCTTCTATCTCAATTGAGGTATCTTCAGTGGGGAGAGTGCCTTAGGTCTCCATGAAGAGGAGAGGGAGGTCATTTTGTTTGAGGACAAATAAACTCGGCAGAAGAATTTGTCAGAAGATGTGGTCGTTGTGATGAGGGTTCTCGAAACCGCTTTGACACTAAGTGATGAAGTTACGGGCTCCCAAGCCGTCCTGGATAAAGCTAATGCCTGAATCCAAAAGTTTAAGGGGATTAATGAGAAGCTGAAGGCTGATATTCTCAATCATGAGACAAAGTATGAAGCACAAGTACATCTCCTCAAGGATTTGAACGAGCTAATGCCTCAACTAGAGGCTACGACTAAAGAGAACGAGCGATTGTCCGCTCGGGTAAAGGAGTTGGAGGAGATTGTGGCGCCTGCCGATGAAGAGACTGACACAGAGAAAGCCCTTGAGACAAGGAAAGACTTGATTGCTAGGAATTGTGTGCTCGAGCAGGAAATCATGGATACTCTTAGTTATGACTTTAACACGGTCGTGAAGCAGCTCAAGATCATCAACTAAGGGATCGAGCTTGTGGTCGAAGGTGCGGGGCCGTTTAACCAGGTGGTCGACGAGAAGATATTTTATCCCCCCAAGGATAATCCCGAGGAAGAGAGTGGTGTCGAGGATGATGAGAGCCAAGATTAAGTTTTCGGGCCTGCATTCCCGTTTGTTTATTTGGCCTGCGTGCCAGCCTTGTTAATTATTTTGGACAAGGGGTTTTGCCCGTTTTTTGTGTATGTTTTAGCTTTGGTATAAGTTCCCCCTTTTGATATTGTACAGACAACACCGGCCTTCATGGTCGGATTTCTAATGCTTTTGTTTTGCTCTCATGTTTTGCATGTTCAATTGTCGTTATGCTTGATCTATTTATTTCAGGAAATATGGATTTTTTATAAGTGGAGGTTTGTGCTCGACCTTAGTTGTGGTCGACACATGTTGGGATGTGTCGAGGAAGCGAAGTAGAAGTCTGTACGGACGAGGTCAAGATCACGGTCGGGGTCTTGACTTCGTGGCGTGAACTTCCCATCGCGAGTTGAGTGTTCTGTCTATTAGGTACTTCGACGGTGGAGCTTGGTCGAGGTGTCCCCGTCGGATAAGGTTCCGCTCGATCAATGAGTGAAAACCCGCCTTTTGTTATTGGTTAGAGGCTATGTTCGTACCTCAACATGCTTCTGTGGTCGAGCGTGCCCTGTCCTTTATCAAAGAGGGTTCGTCGACTAATAGGCCATGGTGTTTATTTGGGACTTAGCTGTAAAATTATTTTTGTTTTGTAGTGTTCCATGATTGAGGTAATGATTCTCCACTTAGGCGTTCGAGGTGGTAGGCTCCAATGCCCGTTGCCCCACGGACGCAGTAAGGTTCTTCCCATTTGGAGGTCAACTTTCCTTCACGTGAATCTTTCTGATTTCTCTACAAGACTAGGCTGCTGACCTGGAATTCATGTTTTATGACTTTGGTGTCATGACGCAGGGCTATCTGCTGTTTCAGTGTAGCTTCGCAAAGAGGTTCTCCTGATCGGATTTCCTCGACCAAGTCGAGCTCTTCCCTTAGGGCCTCGTTATTTAGTTCCCCGTCTAATGGGACTTCAGTTCGTATGGATGGCTCCATGATTTCCAAGGGGATGACTGCTTATGTGCCATAGGTTAGTCGAAACGGTGTTTCGCTGGTCGTCGAGTATGGTGTCGTTCGGTAAGCCCATAGGAAGTTGTGCAACTCTTCGACCTACCCCTTTTTGGCTTCGCCCAACCTGTGCTTGAGTCCTCGTAAGATGACTCTATTCGCGGCCCCGACTTTCCCGTTGGTTTGAGGGTGTTCGACGGACGTGAAGTGATGTTTGGTGTCGAGCTTGGCGACAAACTCTTGGAAGCTTTGGCCAGTGAACTGCGTCCAGTTGTCGGTGACGAGCGCTTGTGGTATGCTGAATCGGGAAAGCACGTTTCGTTTGTAGAAACGAAGGATGTTTTGTGATGTGATTCCCGCTAGGTCTTCGGCCTCTATCCATTTCGTGAAATAGTCGACGGCCATAATCAAGAATTTATTCGAGCAAAAACCCTTTTCTCAGAAATTTTCAAAACAAACTGTGTGAACAATGGCTTCCTCCTCAAGCATAAAAAATATCCACAGTGCTCCTGGTTCTTCTTCAACAGCTGAACAATATGAGGAACCCATAAGAACTTTGCTCACTCCGGTCGACTCTCTTGAAGTGTTATGTGAGTTAATCATTGATTTTGAGA